TTTAGGGTGGATCTATAGGGGCCCCCGGGGGGGGGGCTATAGGGGCGCCCATAGGGAGTGGAGCGGGTCTATAGGAGGAGGAAGGCCCAGGGGGTCATAGGAGGGTCTATAGGGGCCCTGGAGGTAGCAGACATAGCGGGGTGTGGGGGGACCCTATAGGATTGGGGTCCCTATAGATATTTGAGAGTGCTGGACACGCTTAAGGGTACCTTATAGGTGTTCAAGAGATTCTATAGGTGTTTAAGGCATTGTCCAGGTATTTAAGGGCGTCTTATAGATATATAAGAGTCATATAGATGTTTAAGCGCTTGGAGATCCGGTAAATACTGAAGGATCCTATAGATGTTTAGGGGCCGTTTGGTTATTTAGGGTTCCTATATATGTTTTAAAGACCTTAAAGATATTTAAGGGGCCCTGGAGATGTTTAAGTGCATCCTGTAGGTATTTAAAGCTCTGTAGATATATAAGGGTACTCTATAGATGTTTGAGAGTGATATAGATGCTTAAAGACACTATAGATATTTAGGGATCCTGTTCATATTTAAGTACTCTATAGATATTTAGTTGCCTTAAGGGTATTTAAAGAATTTTAAAGGTATTTAGGGTTTCTGTAGGTATTTAAGGGTCCTTATAGATGTTTAAGGGGCCCTAAGGATATTTAAGGGCGCTCTATAGATGTTTAAGCACCATTCTGGACATTTAAGGACCCTATAGGTGTTTAAGAGCCCTATAGATGCTTAAAGTACTTTAAAGGTATTTGGAAACCTTATAGATGTTTAAGGAACTTATAGTATAAGGCACCCCCCAGATGCCTGAGGATCCTATAGGTTTTTAAGGGACTTTATAGGGGTTTAAGGGACCTTATGGATGTTTAAGGATCCTGTAGATATTTAGGAGACATTATAGGCGTTTAAGGGACTTTTTGGATGTTTAGTGATCTTACAGGGATTTAAGAGACCCTATAGATGGTCAGGGGAGCCTGTAAATGTTTAAGGATCCTATAGATATTTAAGGGAGTTTATGGGTGTCAAATGATTTTATAGATGTTTAAGGGACTTTATAGGTGTTTAAGGGACCTTACGGGCATTTAAGGATTTTATAGGTGTTTAAGGGACCCTATAGGCGCTTGGGGGAGCCTATAGATGTTTAAGAGACTTTGTAGGTTTGTAGAAGACCTTATGGATGTTTAAGGACTTTATAGGTATTTAAGGGGCTCTATAGATATTTAATGCACTTTATAGATGTTTGAGGTTCCTATAGATGTTTAAGAGACTTCATAGGTGCTTAAGGGACCTTATAGACATTTAAGGACGCTATAGGTATTTAAGGACCCTATAGGTGCTTGGGGAGCATATAGATATTTAAGAAACGTATAGATATTTAAGGGATTTTATAGATGTTTGAGGTTCCTATAGATATTTAAGGGACTTTATAGGTGTTTAAGGGACCTTATGGACATTTAAGGACCTTATAGGTGTTTAAGGGCTCCTATAGGCATTCGGGGGAGCCTATAGATGTTTAAGGATCCTATAGGTATTTAGCGGATTTTATAGATGTTTGAGGTTCCTATAGAAGTTCAAGGGACTCTGTAGGTGTTTAAGGGACATTATGGACATTTAAGGACCTTATAGGTAGTTAACGGACCCTATGGGTGCTTAGAGGGGCCTATAGATGTTTAAGGATTCTATAGATATTTAAAGGATTTTATAGATGTTTAAGGGGGTTTATGGATGTTTAAGGATCCTCTAGATGTTTAAGAGACTTTGTAGGTTCTTAGAGGACCTTATGGATGTTTAGGGACCTTATAGATATTTACGGAGTTCTGTAGATATGTAAGGGGCCCTATAGATGTTTGAGGTTCCTGTAGATGTTTAAGTGACTTTATAGGTTTTTAAGGGACCTTATGGATATTTAAGGACTTTATAGGTGTTTAAGGGACCCTATAGGCGCTTGGGGGAGCCTATAGATATTTAAGGATCCTATAGGTATTTAAGGGATTTTATAGATGTTTGAGGTTCCTATAGAAGTTCAAGGGACTCTATAGGTGTTTAAGGGACCTTATGGACATTTAAGGACCTTATAGGTGTTTAAGGGCTCCTATAGGCATTCGGGGGAGCCTATAGATGTTTAAGGATCCTATAGAATAAATACCCTTAAGGATGTTTAAAGGACTCTATAGGCATTCAGGGGACCTTATGGACATTTAAGGACCTTATAGGTAGTTAACGGACCTTATGGGTGCTTAGAGGGGCCTATAGATGTTTAAGGATCTTATAGATATTTAAGGTATTTTATAGATGTTTAAGGGGTTATATGGATGTTTAAGGATCCTCTAGATGTTTAAGAGACTTTGTAGGTTCTTAGAGGATCTTATGGATGTTTAAGAACCTTGTAGATATTTACAGGGCTCTATAGATGTGTAAGGAACCTTATAGATGTTTAAGGGGTCCTATAGATATTTAAGGTACTTTATAGATGTTTGAGGTTTTTGTAGATGTTTAAGAGACTTCATAGGTTTTTAAGGGACCTTGTGGATATTTAAGGACCTTATAGGTGTTTAAGGGACCCTATGGGTGCTTGGGGGAGCCTATAGATGTTTAAGGATCCTATAGGTATTTAGCGGATTTTATAGATGTTTGAGGTTCCTATAGAAGTTCAAGGGACTCTGTAGGTGTTTAAGGGACATTATGGACATTTAAGGACCTTATAGGTGTTTAAGACACCCTATAGGCACTTGGGGGAACCTATAGGTGTTTAAGGATCCTTATAGGCTAAATACCTTTAAGGATATTTAAAGGACTCTTATGGACATTTAAGGACCTTATAGATGTTTAAGGGCTCCTATAGGTACCTTGGAAAGCCTATAGATGTTTAAGGATCCTATAGGATAAATACCTTTATTTAAAGGTGTTTAAGGGACCTCATGGACATTTAAGGACCCTATAGGTGTTTAAGGGCCCCCATAGGCGCTCGGGGGAGCCTATAGATGTATAAGGGGGGGGTCTCCCTATATGTTCCCCCCCGGAACAGCGGCCGCCCCCGGAAGTGATGCCGAGAGCCCCCCGCTAGGCCCCGCCATGGCCGACAAGAGGAAGCTCCAAGGTAACGTTAATTAACGTTAATTAACGGGGACCCCCCGTTAATTAAATGGGGGGGTCCCCGTTAATTAAATGGGGGGGTTGTAATTAACGGCGGGGGG